GGAGCTCAAGTGGGAAAGGCAATACATCTCTGTTGAACACATACATAAAGAGCAGAATTTACATTATACATAAAACACTTGTTTAATTTACATGAATCATTTTCCTATAATGTTTGATGTGTGTTACCTGCTGATGGTGTAAAATGCCACTAGTCTGCAGAGATCAGGGAAGCTCAGGGCAGAACTTTCAAGAGAAAATGCTAAACAGTGTAAAAGAAGATGCAAAAATTTAAGATAGAAAATTGCTACCAGGCATAAAACCTTTTTTTTTTGGATAGTGAAATTGTGCAAGCTTGTCTTATTGGGGAGTAGTAAATAAAAGTATGTCAGGTAGACATGCATAGACAAAATAATCTCTTATATTGCAAGTTAAAATAGGATTTTAATTAGTCTATAATGTGCTTAATAATAATAGAAGCTCCGCAGCACAATACAACAACAAATAAACAGTATGGGGGACCAAAGGATTGTTTATTAGGTTTAGGGGATAGAAAATACCATTAGCTTAGTTTAAAAGCTGTGACATGTTGAACTCACTGGAGTCTTCCTCACGGATGGGATACTGTGACACTCCTCCCTCCTGCAGTCGCACACACAAAACCTTCCTGTGGGAGGCGCTACACTTACACACCAGAAACGTCTGTGGACAAAGAGGGGAGATACAGCATTCATTAACTCTCATTAGATGATGTTGTACATATGTTAAATTATTATACTGCATACAACAATACAGTTGATATATAATGGAATAAAACAAAGATATTGAGAAGTCAGCATCAAGTACAAGAAAATAAACCTTAAAATAAAATGACTATATATGAAGGTAATGCAGCAGGCTGTCTCTAGTTGAGTGTGTTTATCTGAAGTGTAATTAGTTGATTAGTTGCAAATTACACCCATCATACTGGACATTGTTATGCAGTCAAAGGTTATACAGAGGTGCATCACTGCATGATTACTGTAATTATGACTTTAGGTTGTGAATAACAGTGATAAAACATGATTATTTGATTGTAAGAGGCTGTTGGGATTCCCTCACCCCAACTATCTCTCCTTGCAGGATCTGGTGGGCGGAGTCAGGGTTGATTGACAGCTGCAACCATATGGAGTGTGTGAGGACAAGACGATCCAAAACACTCAAATTCCTCGCGTCCATCTATAACACAGGAGACAGGTCAACAAACGCAAAAACTTCACGGAAAGACCTTCATTCACAAAATTCTGTTTATTAAACATATTGGCTCTATTTTTGGCAAAAAA